ACGGAAAAAGACCACTGCCCGACTGAGGAATTGAACCCCAGACCTTCCGATTACCGGTCGGACGTACTGCCATTACACTACCGGGCTGTCTTCTTCCGTCTTAGGATCTCTCCAGGATCCTAACAAGGACGTTTGCAACATACGTTAATACATAAAGTTTTGAGTTTTTTCAAAGAATACAGATTAACCATAAAAAGTCTAGTTACATAGTTTGATAGTTCTTTTTGAGGACTATCGTATAGTATAGAAATATTTTTGCAGTCAACCTCTTTTGCCAAAAATGTTATCAAACTGATTTCAACCCAATATTCTCCAAGAACAAAATTTTAAATTTTGGCTAAAATAATTGCTAATTATTTTTATATATATTATTATGTGCATTGGAAAAGTTGAAGACGATCGTGTTTACACAAGCGGTTGTTCGAGTTGATCTTTTTTCGTCAATACGCTTTTGTGAGCCTTTTCTATCTATGACTCAAAATCTAATATGAAAGTTTCGTATTAGGTTTTGAGTTGCTGTTTCGTACGAAACAGCAACTCTTATAATTTATACCAATGTTTATTAATTTTTATCAATTTTCAAAAAAAATCATCCTTACTGATCTTCTATAGTGTGATGGTATGCTAGAATAGAAGCAGACAGCGCGAAATAAGATTTTCTGATTAAGGTACCAGATAGATAAACGTAGACGTACAGCAGAAGATGAAATCTGTTTGTCGGTGAGTTTGTTTTAACAACATCATTGTATAATTCAGAGTGAGAGAGTTTTGTGGAACTGACAAGGAGAGGACATCAAGTGTGAAATCGCTTTTTTTTGAAAATCTAGTGGACAACGAGTAATCGACTATGCTGAATCCGAATATGACAATCATTTTGGCAATAGGTCCCCAGAGACCGATTTCTCCAAAACTGGTTTTCAAGAAACTCTTAAAAAATAACCAAAACGTTTCTTAATAAGCGAAGACTATAGCCCGGAGATATCTAATTAAAATGAGACGTCTCCCGGCTGTACACGACCTTTCTTTGCAAAATTATAGAATTTACAAGAAAAACCCTAAATTTAGTTCTTCTTCTGTAGGTTTGGGCTGGCAATGAACTTATTAGGGCTTTTCTTTTTTTTAATTAGGGCTTTTCGTGTAAATTCTATAACTTTGCAAAGAAAGGTCATGTAGAGCTGGCAGATGTCTCATTTTAATCAGAAATCTCTGGTCTACAATCATGACTTGATTTTATTAATCAAGAAATATTTTGGTTATTTTTTAAGAGTTTCTGGAAAACCAGCTTTGGAGAAATGCGGTTTTTGGAGACCTATTGGTCAAAATGATTACCATATTCGGATCCACCATAGTGGATTACCCGTTGTCCATTTTTTTCGAAAAAAAAGTGATTTCAAACTTGGTGTTCTTTCCTCATGAGTTTAAAGAATTGTGCTTGTAAAGAAAAATTTTGAGTAATAAAATACTGTTATATGTAATTTTTCATTTTAGGAATATCATCCCATGGATTCTTTGATGGAGAATGAACGTTCACCATCTGCTACTCTTAAATTGTGTGAATTAAATATAAGATTTAGTAAAGAAACTAGTCCTAAGAAAAAAACAGCCCTTATTCAATATATATTCCTAAGGTCACCGTATTTGAAGAAACTAGCTTTGAATATAAATAATTTAGAATATTTTTTTGGAAATGATCAAAATAATTTCGTTATATTTAAGAACATAAAACATTTAGAATTAACGAAACCGCGTGCTACTGAATACAATACAAATAACCTTGAAAATATCATTACGGTATTTCCAAATTTAAATTATCTTGTGTTAGGTACATGTCATTTTGTGTATGATCAAGTCATACCATTGATTACACAACTAGCTAAAAATTTAAAATGTCTAAGCATTTTATATATCGATAAATATTTATTACGCTCTGATGACGAAATAGATATGATCAAATCAATACCAGTTTTAGAGAATAAACAATGTGTAGTATCGTACCCAAGACGGACTGCACTGGTGATATGGCTTTAAATGAATGTTCAACACACTAGTGTTTCAATCTACAAACCTCATGTCGTTCGCGCTAACTTTGTTCGCGATTACGTCGGTGTATCAAATCGCTAGAGAGACAATGAAGATCAATTCGTTTTATTTAATTCTAACCATAATACCTGTGGCAAGAAAATTACCAAGCAACTTGTTTGAAAATCATGGCGAAAAGCTAAAAAATGAGCTCGTATTTTATCATTTTCACCGTCAAATTTAAGTTTTTTCGCAGAATCAATATCATCATTTTGATCGTTCAACGTAGCTTTTTGGCTGGCCATATAAGATTCTTCACCTTCCATAGTTGGTGTCCATTCTAACTGAATACAGATCTTTTTATTGACTAGAAAAAAATGCAAGAACGAAAGTTATTTCATAAGAAATGGACTATGTAACAGGGTTTGATTCTGCAGCTCCTTCTTCAAGTTCACAAGGTAATAAAGTGAATTTCAAAGTGCATA